TGGCCTATGTATTGAGGTATGTATCGTATCGTGGCCTATGTATCGAGGTATGTATCGTATCAGCAACTTCGTATTGATACCCAGCCCTACTGAACAGGCGTTAATATGTTATTAACATATTGACAGTTATTCAGATAATTATAGCATAAACAACAGAATGTAAGTTTACCAAACTCACGATCTCTCTCCAAATCACTAAATCTATTGAATTCTTCTTCCTCGGTGTCACTTCTGCACGATCTCCGGAGATAAACGATAGATTCATGATGTAAACAGAGCGCCGCTTCCTCTTCTGTGTAGCTGTCGTCAGACTCAGCATCATTTCCAATTAGAATTATTGCAGCCTTTCTGAATCCCGACACGATGGTTTTGATTGTCATTGAAGTTCAGGGTTTGTCGATTCATCCAGTGACTCCCAGGAAAGTTGCATGGCGCACCCTCCCGGTTGCTATGAAGCTGTGTTCTCCATCCCCGCTTTCCGCCAGTCAATCACAAGTTTCTGGCTCACTCCAAACTTTCTTTCTGCGGCTCGATTACCGTTTTCAACTGAATATTTCACTATTTGCAGCAAGACAGCGGCTATTACTACAGGGGGCATGCGAAGTAGAATGAGAAGTGACAGTGGTACAGGAGTAATAGTAGTACTAGTAGTACACACGAGCCTAAAGCCTCTCGCAGCTGTCAGTCTGAAAATTTTAATATATAAGTCGCACCAGAGTATAAGTTACAGGACCAACCAAACGATGAAAAAAAGTGCAACTTGTAGTCAGAAAAATATGGTAATACAAAAGTTAATATTTCTTTTCGATAATAATAAACAAAATTAAATGTCACACAGATTTTATTTGTGTCCGAAAATGGAGTGGGAGGAAGTAGATACTTATTTAACCCCACCCCTTTTTTCTACTGTCCCAAATTAACAAATAATATATAGACGTCTCATTTCCTGTACATAATTAGTACCTGCATTTCATTACAAATCTAACAACAACAACAACAACAACTCTTTGTATATTATGTGCACAGATATAATATATACATAATTAAATACATACATACACTGTAATTCATTGTTTTATTGTTTGTTTTTGTTTTTATATTTATTTATTGTCTCTTTTTCCCCATTGTTCTTGAGACACACACATCTCTATTTGAATTAGGGTGGATTGAAAACTTGTCTTACTAATTTTCATAACGTGTTTTCTTGTTTAAAAGTAAAACTACTCTCATTTAATGTCATATTGAGAGAAAATCTAATTGCTCTGAGGTCTCGGCCATTAGTGGTAATGGAGAGGGTAATTGTTTGGGGGCCCTAAGCGGCTGCCTACTTTTGCCTAATGGTAGCGCCGCCTCTGGATCTGGAGCTGTTTCCTGTCTCCCTGATTTCAGAGGGTGTGATTGACAGACAGATTAACCAATCAGAGAGAAAAAAAAACAACATTAAAGACTGAGAAACATTGTGGATTTTTTCACAATCAGCCATCAACTTATCTCAGGAAAAAAAGTTATATATTTGGTTGTGAATGATACAAGAATTTTCAAGAGATCGTCTTCTGCCTTTGAGAGAAATGTGATACAAATTAGCAGCTGTGGTTAGATCATCTCCAGTCCCAGTCCCAATCTCTTCTGGATTCAAACAGAATATAGAAGAGACTGGCTGTTCAGGCGAGTTAAAAACAACAGTGAGGCCTGTAGAAATACTCTCGTCCTCAGAGCACATGGTTAATTCAGCAGCGTAAACAAACTCCTGCTTCCAGAAGGACACGTGAGGGCATTAAACAGGTAACACCTCATTATGTGTCATTATTAGAGTAGCAGAGACTCCACAGTCTGTGTTTAAACTGCTCTGGCCGAGCGGTAGCATCAGCACAAGCACAAAATCCACAATGACGTGATATCAATCTGTTCCCCAGTGTTGAGAATTAACTATATTCTGATACAATTACTTTTACAGGTAACACTTCAGTTTAGGAACCACATATTTATCACTAACTAAATGGTAAATTGGTATTAGCTGTTACTTAACTAATAGTTGGTATTTATCAAACAATATTAATGCTTATTAGGATTTCAGTGTATGTACAGAAACATATAATACAATCCCCACTACTTTAAACTTAAAAAAAAATAGTTAAAGGTTTAATTTCAAAACACAGCATTAGTCAAAAATGCTTTGAAAACACTTTATAAATACTAACAAATGTAATTAAGCACTAATTATGCATTTTATTGTTAATTATCTGTTAATACGTGGTCCCTTAACTAAAGTGACCCTTTTTCATTTGGTGATATTTAGAATACAGTTACTTTTCTAAGTTCATAAGAATACATTGTTGTGCTTTATCACTCAATTTTGGGTTCAAACTGTTCGATATTAGAGAGACAAATATAAAACACAGCTCTTGTGAAGCATGTGGCATGATTCCTTTTCCGATAAGTGATAAATAAATGAGTAACAAACGTTCAAATAAAGCTGTTTTTAATTCTGTGTTGCTTTTTTCCTCTATATTAAAAATTTTCAATGTGAAAGTATTTAAAGTATTGAGAACACTACTCTGATTGGACCATGTATCAAAATACTTCACAGATTTTGAATGCAGATATTCAGTATTCTGTGACAACATACATTTTCAAAGTATTCTTCCCAACACTGCTGCATCATACCCTTGTTACTTTCTTTTTTCCTCATAAGTAGCCATCTTTGTTTTGATATACATGTCCCTGATTGGCTAATCCACCTGTCATTATTATTTATTTATCGCTCCCTTTGGTGTTTGTATGATTTTGTATGAATAGTTGGCGAGTTGTATGTGCAGCTTACATATCTACACTGAATATGTCATCTCTGGACCACGGGCCTGTGCAGGTTCACATTTCGACAGACGGTTTTTGGATGCGGTTTTGGGACGACCTCTGATTGGCCTTTTTTTATCCCATAATCCTTTGCGTGCAGGCCTGTGGTTAAAGTGCCAGAGTTGTCAGTCAAGGTGGTTTCATGGGAGCATCGCGTATGTGTGAAGTATTGAGAGCAGACCATCACTGTTTGGGACCAATGAAAAGACCATAGTCATTTTAAAGGTATGGAGTACATCCAGTCCATGTGTGTTTGGGCACCGGCAGCTCCTCTACATCTGGTGCTGTATTTCACCTGTGTGTAGGTTTATATGCCAGCACGACTGGGTGAATGGCTCCTGCTTCACAGAAGGAAAGTTCTGGGTTAGACTTCTGGGCATTTCATTTTGGAGTTTGCACGTTTCTCCCGTGTCTGAGTGGGTTTGTCTGTCCGTCTGAGTCTGGCAAGATGGTCCTGACCAAGCTTAGCTCAAGATATGAAAATGGTTTCCCAAGAGGTTTCCCCAGAAGCACTGGTTGAAAAATTGATTGAAAGCATACATTGATTAATATTGATAATATTCATTTAATTCTGTCAACTGGACAAAAGTTTTGGATCTAAGAGCTGCTTCTTCAGTTCTGGTCAGACGCTGGTGGACACTGCCTTATATCTGTCTGAGGTTAGGAGCTAAATACACTGAAACTACTCTGAAACAAAAACACCTACTTGTTTAGGTTCTATTTGTTGTAAACTAAGTGGGGACTCATACAGGCTCGTGATATGGGAGTGTTTGTCAACTGATCTGAGGTTGGCAGTTTGAACCCCACTTTTGACATAAACATCTTTTTTTTCCACACTTAACCCACCTCGCCCCCAGTGTCTGTCTACACTGGTGTGTGAATGTGTGTGTGAATGTGTGTGTGAATGGGTGAGTTGTAATGGGTGGTTGTAAAGCGCTTCGAGTGACTTGAAGGTGGAAAAATGTTATAGAAAAATGTGATAATTTACCCTGATGGGTGCTTTCACACCTCTGAGCAACAGGCTGTCACTGATGTCACTATATTTTTTTTTACTTAGATCTCAGGATGGAGTTGTAAATGGGAGAGATGCTGCTGAGTCCCTGACTAGGGTCCAATGCACAGACGGCTGAGCAGGACGAGACCCTAGTCAGGGACTCATCAAACTCACCATCAAAACACTTAGTGCAGTTTAACAGACCTAACTAACAAACAGACACTGTAAACAAGTAGGTCTGTTAGTTTCAGAGTAGTTTCAGTGTAGTTAGCTCCTCCCTGCAGACAGATATAAGGCAGTGTCCACCAGCGTCTGACCAGAACTGAAGAAGCAGCTGGGATGAGTTGCAAAACATCTTAGATCAAAGTCAGACAAAAGTCAGATTTTTGTCCAGTTGATAGAATTAAATTTCTCTTTTGCTATGGATCCTACCTGTACAACTGAGGGAAACACAAACATAATTATTTTTTCCTCTCACAGGGGATCAGTAAAGTGTACCTTAACCATAAGACTAAAATGGTTGAGGATCCTGATTACCTCAGAAAAGTACCAAGTGCCACCAGTTGTACACGTAAAACACTCAAACCCCACCCTGTAAGGCCCACCCACTGACTTCTGACATACAAGTACTGGCAAAAGACTACTGAAATAATAAATGCCAAATCTGGTGAGTCTGGGACCATTTTGACATGTTTTTCATATTCTTTTGTCCTGTTCAGAGCATTTCAGGATACAAAGTAACCCTGCCACATGCCGTAAACAAAGACAAGAGAAATCTGTTTTAAAGCTGTGCGCCGAAAAATGCACGTATCCGAAGGTTTTTGAGAGGTTGGAGTGAGCTGCCCTGGGGTAGACTGACAGAGGCGAGGCTGCCAATCTGCACCACGCACACATGCGCACATACACACACATACATGGACACATAACGCACACACATTTACTTTTAATCATGATTTGTATCCTTAAGCAAGATACTTCTCTAAATGTTTATGTGTATGTGAATGATGCACAGATTGGAGACGTTTGCTTAAATCACTGATCAAATATTATTAGTTGAAGTACTTATAATATACTGAGTAATACGTGTGTAGTGATATTTGTATTTGCGTAGTTGTCTTTTATAAACTATATCAAATCTGTGTGTGTCCTGCAGCTCAGAGGGACGCAGACGACTGCCGCAGCTGTCTGGAGTGTTCCCGTGACAATGGCTGTGTGCGATGCCCCGAGCGACTCTTCTTGTTCCTACAGAGGGATGGGATGTCTCACCACGGGACATGTCTGCTCACCTGTCCTCCAGGACACTTCGAGCAGAAGGGCAAAGACATCAACCGCTGCCTGAGTAAGTTTTCAAAGCAAGACGAGCTGTATGGAGCAGTGAGCAGTGAGCAGGGACCCGTGTTTCTCTGCCTATGTTCACATGCGCTCCAGAAATCTTATTATTATCTCATTTATGGATCTTTAGTCTCATCACTATTAATGGAGTAATTAAAAGGGCCCATATTAGGCTATTTTCTGATCTATGCTGGCGCCACCTAGTGCCTCCGCTCAATTTCATTTCTCTCCAGCGACTAGGTCCGGAATTGAAATACAGTAGATGGTTTGCAAGTTGGAAGTTGTAGGCCGCGTACGGGCCAATCAGTGAAGAGCTGTGAAGCCATGACGTCAAACTCAAGCACCTGTCTGGGTTCATTTTGTCGTACAGCACAACAGTAAACAAAGCGGTCAAGATGGATGTAGACGAAGACATACATTCTGTTTTGGCAACGATTCCCGAGATCGAGGATTTAAAGCCGAAACAAAGAGAATGTTTGGTGAATTTTATCAATTGGAAAGATGTTATTGCCCTTCTTCCTACGGGATTTGGCGCATTACATACGTCACGATCAAATAGCAGCGATTTGTTAAATTTAAAAGTACCTGTCAACCATCGAGCAAACAAATCCTAATGCTGTGAGGTCAGATGGTTTCCACGAAGTGAAACCAGCTGAAGAATCTTAGGCTTATAATGTCATTTCCTCATCAAAAACAGACCGGGATTTCGGTTTTGTTTCATTCACACATGTTTAACACACACACCCTGCATATTTAGGCTGATTTCTTTTCTCAAACAAAAAACCTTATGATGTCATGTGGTTATACAGGAAAAGTGCTCCACTATGTTTTAAAACTCCACACATTTTCACTAGAATCATGTGAATAAATTCATCCCCAGAATTGCCAATCTCTACTGAACAAAGGTAAAATGTAGCTGTTAATTTGGAAACTACTACTTCATGACATCACAAGCTGGAACAGAGCATTTTCAGCTTTGGAGATGTATGGTTAATAATAAAGGATTACTCAAGCATGTGTGAATGAAACAAAAAACAACTCCAGGTACAACTCCAGGTTTTCGATGAGGTAAGAACATTATAACATGACTTAAAGCTCACGAGAGTCAATTTGGCGAAATATAGGACGTTGAAGATGATTAAAAAGACATACAAGCTGCAAATCATGATCAGAAAGAAATGGGATAATTTTGCTATTTACATTTCATTTGAATAATTTCGTAACTCAAAAAATCTGCTAATAATCAGATTTTGAGCGTGCATGTAACCGCAGCCATTGAAACAAATATCCAAAACCAGAAATGAAAAGTTGTTTGTAAATCTTTGCGAATTACAACAACCACGCCTGTGTGATTGAATTTCATCTTTGCCATTACTTTTGGTTTTCAGATACTAGACTGTGATGGCAGGAGACAGTTTTCTCTATTGATCATGTGGTATTATTTTCATCTAAACTATTCCAAAGGTAAACACAAGTTGAAACTGGTCATTCCTTTATGTGTCAAGACCCTACAGCAACAAATCTGCTTTTTAATCATTATTTGTCCATAAAATTTCACAAACGATACCCTGCAATCGTGAAAAAAATCTGCTTGCTTAAAGGGCCCATGTTACTCTGTTTTCTGATCTGTTATAATGTTGTTTCCTCATCACAAACAGACCTGGAGTTGTGTTTTGTTTCATTCACTTCATTAATTCATTAACGCACAAACCCTGCATATTTAGGAGGTCTTCTTTCAAACAGAAAACACTCGGTTCCACCTTGTGATGTCATGTGGTTATACAGGAAGTGCCCCATTGTGTTTTTAAACATCATACATCTTCACGAAAATCATTTGGATGAGCTGCTAACTTGGAAATTACCATGACATGACATCCCAAGGTGGAACAGAGCATTTTGAGCTTTGGAGATACAGAGAGACACTAACAATGGATTTTTGAATAATCATTAACATTTTTATATTAAAATTATCATCATTATTATTACTATTACTAATCTGCATAAATAAACTCAACTTTACAACATATAAACCATAACCGTTTTTGAGCCACATCAGCCCGTTTGAGATTAGAATGTGTTTAATGCAGCTTTCACACATTTGTTTACGTTTTACAGAAACTAAACTTAAAACCGTAAACTAAAAGCTCTGCTCTTAGCTCAGCTCTTTATTTAACATCATTTCACTCATTTTATTTATGTTGGTCACTTTATTTATTTTGGCTACTGTTGTGATGAAAAGACTGAAAAGTGTTTGTCTTTTGGACACATGTGCACTCAACTTTATGTTGCGGTAACCTGGTGTTAGGTCTGCCTAAACATTGTAAACAAGAAGAAAGACAAGAGATTAATTCAGTTTTACTCGCGAGGAGAACGGGCAGAGAGCGGGCATCAAAACCAACAGTCTCCACACGTTCTGATGACTCAAGGCCGCTCTCCTCTTTTTATTTCATTAGGAGGCCCTAGTTACAGAATGATAATTCTCAAGGGGAAGGGGAAACAGCCAAGACATAATAAGAAACTGATGCAGCTAAGCATAGTATAAACACATAAAACATGATTAACAATCAGGAGGTGCCTTAGGTATGGACAGACACCATCATAACTCTTGCATGTGTGACAGTGGGAGTTGGCTTCATGTGAGGAATCATCTCGAGGTTCACTAGAGCGATAGGACACTGCACACAGTTGTCAAACACACAGAGGTTATTCAACAAGTGACAAGTGATTGGTACATTATAAATCAAAGAATTATAGTTACATAAATGGTTAACTCATAGGCATAGAATATCACACAAGTATTTAGCAAATATGGGATAATAAAATTATTCTGACACCTGGATACTGCGTATACATGCACCGTGACTATAAAACCTGATCATACCCGGGACACTGATGTGCATGTAAACACACTCACTGAGGGATATAGTGATCTCCAAGGAGGAGCCAGAGCCCAGATGTGGGACTGTGATGCCGCAACTCCAGTGTTTGTACTGTCAGACGCAGCCTAGTTCCCTTATGTTACACACAGCAACTTACATTCGGCTTGTCGATTAAAAATGAACATGATTGACAAAATTCTTAACAATGAATCCCTAAGAGAGACTAATAATCACAGGTTACTCAAACGTGTGAATGAAACAAAACATAAGTGCAGGGTATGTTTTTGAGAAAGGAACAGCATTAAAACATGACTTAAAGGTTGTATGGAGGATTTTTTTTTGTTTCAAGTTGTCAATGATAGCATTATAAAGGTGCAGTAGCCTTGTAATTATGATGACCTAAAAAAAGAGAATAAAAATTCATCAACTCTGGACGTGGTGGGGCTAAACATTTGCCAATAGATAACGACACTGCCTCGTTATCTGTGAGCTGACAGGCTGTCAATCAAACTCCCTACGTTTCTAGCGTAACTGACTTGCCTGCGCGCTGCCGGTACGTGGTTTACGTACGACTGTCACGCAGTCCACAGACGCAAGACGCACAGACGCTGTTTACTCCACCAACGCAACAGTTCTTAGCGGCTTTTTTTGACCTATATCTTCCTCGCAGTTCGCACAAAGTTTGTTGCAATGGCAGACAAGAATCCAGGAGCAGTTAGCCGCAAAAGAAAGTCCGTTTTTTGAGGTCGCTGAAAGAAGAAGACAAGGGGAAAAGCAGCGAAGCCAAACTAAGGTGATTCTTGAAGATTCATTCCAGCGATGGCGCGACTGAAGCAGACGCAGGGTCTAAAGACTGACGCACTGGTCGCCAAATTACTCCTGGACAGGTCACTTCTGCTCATTATGAAAACGTACTTTATTTCCAAGAGCTAGACAAATGTTTTTCAGGACACGAATGCGATATCCTATGTCTGAAAACGTAATTTTCAAGGCAAAGAAAGAGTCCGCTTGCTGCTGCGTGTTGTAGTTAGTTCATTCACACTGAATCTTCGCGCAACCTTCTCTGCACCCCTTTCCTGCTCCTCTCCCCGCTGCCCGATCCGCTCTTCCCCCTGCTCCTCACTTCTCCGGGCACGGAATCTCCGCGCACCGCTCCCTCTCCTCTCCTCTCTCCTCTCCTCTCTCCTCTCCCTGCTCCGCTCTTCTCCCTGCTCCTCACTTCTCGTCCGCGAACGAAATGTCCGCGCACCCGCTCCCCCCGCTCCTCACTTCTCCGTCTTGCCTAACCAACACTGTAGTTAGTTGTTTACAAGTCATGTGCAGCGCACCGGCTGTAAACAAACCTGTTTCTGGCGTAACGAGGAGGCGGGAGGAGGCGTTTCTACGTAGGAGCTGTAGGGGAGGGGGGGTGGTTTCACACATGCGCAACATTTGAAAAAGGACAAACAGTCGCTGGATTTCTCGTTCCTTGGAAAATCCTCTATACAACCTTTAAAGCTCACAAGAATCAATTTTGTTTAAAGGTGCTTTATGTAACTTTTTTGTTGGGGGTCCGTCACTTGCTTGTTTCAATGGAGATGTCATTTCTCTGCCTGAAATGTTCCACAGTGTGACATTAAACAGCTCTACCTTGCATTTATTCAATTAAAACTGGTATAATAGCTCAAAAATACTTGACAAAACAAGCATTCTGACTGTCAACGGGGTCGCCTCTCCACTGATCTGGTCTGTAACTTGGTCTGGTTTGGTTTCCACGTTGATAGAAAGCTTTAATACCATACCGTGAAACATTCCAGACAAAGCAGTAACCCTCCACCAGAAAAGTTACACAGTGCAGCTTTAATATAGGCCCTTTAAGTTGCGTTCCCAGATTCAGTTACACAGATAAATCCGGAAATTACAGATATATTCCATAAACCAAAACCAAAACAAAAACACGGAGCTGTCTTACTACCATGCATTCTTCTTAGGTTAAGGAGCAGAGCCATAAAATTCACGGATGGGGAGATTCACCTTGTTAATTCCTTTAACTCACTTCGCTAATGAAAGAAAAACATCCTCCCCAGTGCATAGCTGGGCCTGTGCATTAAAGGCTTTATTTGAAGGAGAGACGCCAAGGAGACCACAGAAAATGTCTCCAACCACAAACCACAAGCGTAAACTGCAAAATAACCCACCACGGCACGCCATAAGCATTTACAAAAACAATATTGTGTTATGAAAAATGCATGTTGTAGTCGCAGTGGACTTAACCAGAATGCAGTTATGTTTTCTTTAAAGGTCCTGTATTACACAAAAACGACTCTTGTGAGCTTTAAGTCACGTTATAATGTCGTTACCTCGTCAAAAACATGCTTTGAGATGTGTTTTTGTTTCATTCACACATGTTTGAGTAATTATTAGTCTGTCTACATCTCCCAAGCTGTGTCAAAATGCTCTGTTCCAACTTGTGATGTCATGTGGTTTAACTTTTGTTCGGCAATTCCAGGGCTGAAATCATCCAAATGAATCTGTGCATCAGTCGTTTATTCGTTTTTCAAAATAAAACCAAAAATAAGGAAATGAAAAAAAAACAGCTATTCTCTTCATTTGTCTCCAAAACCAAAATGAAAAAATGGGTAATGATTTCTTTTTCCATTTTTTCGATTTTAAATGAATAATGGAAAAAAAAAATGGATAACAGCCATTTCCTATTTCTGTGACTTAAACTGTGATGCCAGACTTTTGCGCCGCATATGAACTGAACCAGGACTGAACCAGGTCTAAATCGGGACTAAACCAGTCTTAGTCCTGCTCTGGTCCCGTTCTCAATCCCGGTCTCAGTCCTGGTCCTGGTTTCAGTCCCGGTCTGGTCCCGGTCTGGTCCTTGTCTCAGTCCGGGTCTGGTCTCGGCCTCAGTCCTGGTCTCAGTCCCAGTCTGGTCCCGGTCTCAGTCCTGGTCACCCGACAGTCTACGCAGGTGAACCTCCAGGCCGGACACTTAGTATTAGTTCAGTTCTGGTTTAATCCTGGTTTAGTCCTGGTTCAGTCCGCATGTGGCGCAAAAGTCTGGTATCTCAGTTTAAGTCACGGAAAGGGGAAACTGCAAGAAAATAAGATAAGAAAATGAAAAAAAAAAACCAACTATTTTCTTCATTATTTGTCTCCAAAACCAAAATGAAAAAAACGGATAACGATTCTTTTTTTTTTTTTTTTTTTTTTTCAGTTTTTGATTATGTGTTTAAGTGAATAATGGAAAAAACTGGACTGAACAAGGACTGAACCAGGACTAAATCAGAACTGAACCAGGACTGAGTTTCGGGACGGGCTCAAAGATGCACCCTCATAGACCAGGACTAAACGGATAATGAATCATTATCTGTTTTTTCATTTTGGTTTTGGAGACAAATAATGAAGAAAATAGTTGTTTTTTAATTTTCTTATTTCTGGTTTTATTTTGAAAAACTAATGAACGAATGATACACGGATTCTTTTGCTACTTTTGGGACAAGTCTGAAGAAGATCTAAGGTCCTCTCTCTCGCTCTCCACAATATGACATTAAACAGATTACCTTGAATTGATTCAATTACACATGGTTTTATTGCTCCAGAATACCTAAATATTTCAGACAAAGCAATAACATCTCCATGGAGTAAAGCATTTGACCTTTACGTTTGATTTTATTCTTGTCGTGTGTGTGTTCCCCTCAGAGTGCCGCTCCCTGGACTGTGAACACTGCTTCAGTCGAGACTTCTGCACCAAATGTAAAGCCGGATTTCAGCTTTACAAAGGGAAGTGTCTGAGCCGCTGTCCATCGGGGACCTTCCCACACCACACCGACTGCCTGGGTGAGTTTATTTGCCTTTTTACACACACTACTAGTCAAAAAAAGTGGATACACCTTCTCATTTCTTTACTTTTATGCAAAATTAAGTATTAAAACATGTTAAAATGCTTTTCCCTCCTCAAAAACAGACCTGGACTTGTGTTTTGTTTCATTCACACGTTTGAGTTATCCTTTATTATTACTCTATCTACATCTCCAACGCTCAAAACACTCTGTTCCACCTTGTGATGTCATGAAGTGGTAGTCAGAAAATAGTGTAATATGGGCCCTTTAATTTAAGATCCAAATCCAAATCCACTTTGTTTCTATAGCACATTTTACAAACAAAGCAGTTTCCAAAGTGCTGCACAGAGATCACAAAATGAACACAACAAAAAGGTAAATTGCTCAAATTTGGTCACACCAGTCCTAAAACAATAAAACCAGTAAAATCTAAATAAATAAAAGACACAGAGGACCACACAACTCACACAGTTGTTAAAAGCTGGAGAATAAAAGTGGGTTTTAAGACGAGACTATGAGGGCTGTTTGGACGTGGGGGTAAAAGGTGCATTGTGCATTGGTGGAAGAGCCATCAAATGCTTTTCTCCATTAAGATGTTATGAACTTGTCTGGAATCTTTCTATCTCCATGGAGACCAAACCAGACCAAGTTACAGGTCAGATCTGTGGACAGGCAACCACGCTCACAGTCAGAATGCCTTGTTTCTTAGGTATTTTTGTGCAATAAAACGACCTGTAATTGAGTAAGTGTAAGATGAAGCTGTTTAATGTCTTACTGTGGAACATGACATCTCCATAGAAACAAGCAGGTGACGGACCCTCTACCAGAAAAGTTACACAACGCATCTTTAAGTGTAGCAAGATGTATTTTCCTGTTTAAATACAAAAAGTCTTATTCTTCTGGGGGATCATTTGACTTGTAAAGTGAAATTTACTCAAATCAGGATAAAACTTTTTTTAATTCAAGGGCCTGTTTACACGAGAACGCTTGCAGGTGAAAACGACAAAATATTTTATCTGAAGCTCCCTTCGTTTAGATGGTGATGGCGTTTTTGGGGCTTAAAGGTTGTATGGAGGATTTTTTTTTTGTTTCAAATTGTCAATGATAGCATTATAGAGGTGCAGTAGCCTTGTAATTATGATGACCAAAAAAAAGAGAATAAAAATTCATCAACTCTGGACGTGGTGGGGCTAAACATTTGCCAATAGATAACGACACTGCCTCGTTATCTGTTAGCTGACAGGCTGTCAATCAATCTCCCTACGTTTCTAGCGTAACTGACTTGCCTGCGCGCCGCCGGTACGTGGTTTACGTACGCCTGTCACGCAGTCCACAGACGCAAGACGCACAGACGCTGTTTACTCCACCAACGCAACAGTTCTTAGCGGCTTTTTTTGACCTATATCTTCCTCGCAGTTCGCACAAAGTTTGTTGCAATGGCGACAAGAATCCAGGAGCAGTTCGCCGCAAAAGAAAGTCCGTTTTTGAGGTCGCTGAAAGAAGAAGACAAGGGGAAAAGCAGCGAAGCCAAACTAAGGTGATTCTTGATAGATTCATTCCAGCGATGGCGCAACTGAAGCAGACGCAGGGTCTAAAGACTGACGCACTGGTCCACAAATTACTCCTGGACAGGTCACTTCTGCTCATTATGAAAACGTACTTTATTTCCAAGAGCTAGTCAAACGTTTTTCAGGACACGAAAGCGATATCCTATGTCTGAAAACGTAATTTTCAAGGCAAAGAAAGAGTCCGCTTGCTGCTGCGTGTTGTAGCTAGTTCATTCGCACTGAATCTCCGCGCACTCTTCTCTGCTCCCCTTTCCTGCTCCTGTCCCCGCTGCCCGATCCGCTCTTCCCCCTGCTCCTCACTTCTCCGGGCACGGAATCTCCGCGCACCGCTCCCTCTCCTCTCTCCTCTCTCCTCTCCCTGCTCCCTGCTCCCTGCTCCGCTCTTCTCCCTGCTCCTCACTTCTCGTCCGCGAACGAAATGTCCGCACACCCGCTCCCCCCGCTCCTCACTTCTCCGTCTTGCCTAACCAACACTGTAGTTAGTTGTTTACAAGTCATGTGCAGCGCACCGGCTGTAAACAAACCTGTTTCTGGCGTAAAGAGGAGGCGGGAGGAGGCGTTTCTACGTAGGAGCTGTAGGGGAGGGGGGGTGGTTTCACGCATGCGCAACATTTGAAAAAGGACAAACAGTCGCTGGATTTCTCGTTCCTTGGAAAATCCTCTATACAACCTTTAAAAGCGCAAAAATCTGAAACGTTGAACACGCTCCACCGCAGCAAAACTCTGGTCAGATCTGCTCACGTTTACGTTGCATACATCACCACTGAGCCACCTGACATGCATACCCAGTCGAGTTCCACACACTTTTGCGTCACCGTATGCTCGCAGATTTCCTCCCGAAATCTAAACACAGAATAAAAAGTGAAGACGCAACAACACTTTTGCGTCTTCTGTTCAGACCGTCATCATTTAAACGTAGCCCAAGTGATCTTAACTTGTCTAGATTTGAGTATTTGTAGTTTTTAACGTGTTCTGACGGCTGTTTGAACTCACAGTTTATGGAGTATGTGGCGGACTGCAGCTGATAACGGGACCTCTGGAGAACATGGTTTTTATCTCACAGTAGTCTCGGGGAGTTTCATATTTATTCTCATATCACGTTGCAGTAATCTCAGCATGACCGGGATGCCTCTGCGTAAAACTGCAGTTTGTTTGAGAAGAGACCGTAAAGCTCCAGATAAATGTGCATCTGCTGCAGTTGTATAAAAAGGAGAATCTGGCTCAGTATTGTTTGAGTTAGAACAGACCACAACAGATGCCTTAAAGGAATGAATTAGCATATGTTTAAGATGGAATACGTTTAAATCGAAACTTCAGATTCAAGAGGATATTCTGTGAAAAATAAATCTGCACTGGAGTGGTTTAAGACAAAATCTCTTCACAACTCTGACCTGTAACTTGGCCTAGTGGCGTCACCTGCTTGAGATGGATAATAATGCATTGGATTTATATATTTCAAAGCGCTTTACAGTCCTTTATTTATTCACTCTACACTGTGGTGGTAAGATGGCCTTCTTTTAATGTGAAATCTATGATGACTATTCATATTTTAATTGGTTTGTATTGTGATTTTAAAGTCTTTCTGATTCTGTAAAGCACTTTTACAGACATACAAATGAACATGCCTTACCTGCCTCTTCACCAAGTCGTTGCTGTAAATGAGAAATGGTTCTCAGTCTGTCTACCTGGATAAATAAAGGTTAACATATTTTTCAGACTATAAGATGCACCGAATTATAAGGCGCATTAAGCAAAACAAATGGACGACACTTGAGACTGATCCCTTAGCCCAGACGTCCACGATCCACTGGCAGATCGTGGCGTAATTCGCCCAGCGTTGCCTCCCTTGGTCTTGGTGAATGTGTATTATGAATGTGAATGTGGGTGGATCATTTAAGTTTGTTTTTTATTTTCTACAAGGACGACTCAAATATACATTGAGTAATAATGTGTTTAATGCAGCTTTACGCACATTTGTTTACGTTTTACAGAAACGAAACATTGAAACAATAGCTTGCCTCTTGTGCGCTGATGCAGTTAGCTTTTGTCGGACTAAAGGACACGACTCAGTGGAATATGAGTGTTCTTTCTGCAACAAGGAGACAATATCAGTGTGAGCTGAGAGTTGACGCAGAATACGGTTGCCAACTCCCTGAAATTTTCTTATAAAGTGCATTCCACTGATTACACACTATTTCTGATTCTCGTATTAATACGGGACAAAGTGCGTCCTCTTTTCAGTTCAATACGAGACACGTACTTTTGTTTCCGAATACGGGATGATTACGTTTTTCAAGGGACGGTTGGCAACCCTAGCGCAGAACTATGCTTTATTTTGCCAGATGCCTGACTACAGTGCTGTAATGCTCTGACATTCCATCAGGGGGTGCCTGCCAAAGCTTATCAAAGTCATACTAAATCATTCTGACAGATTTTTGAGCACCGTGTACCACATAAAATCAGTTCGAGGACAGCATAAGGTGCACACATAAGGAGCACCGGACTATAAGGAGCATTGTAAATTTTTAAGAAAATTAAAGGATTTTAAGTGCGCTTTATAGTCTGAAAAATACAGTACATAAATAATAAAGATGCAAAGTGTCTTGTCTAAGAACACAACTTCCACTAGAAGCAAAGTTGCCCCACTGTGGCACCTGGTACTACTCATGGGTTCCCATCCCAGTACTAACCAGGCCTGACCTTTGCTTTGAGATTGGATGAAATTGGGTTTTGAAAGTTGGCGTGGAAAAGTTTAATGCCATTTCGGAACATAACACTCCAGGCAAAGCAACAACATCTCAAGGTGTTAAGCAGCGCGTCTTTAAAACCACAGCAAAAAGCATGTTTTTTTTTTTTGTTTTTTTTTTCAGTTTAGTTGGGTTCATTACATTGAAAACCATAGAAAAACATCCGTCCTTACTGAGTAGCTTTGCTGGCATCTCCACAAACCTGACTTGTATGTGGTGGAGGAGTTTCTTCCATTAATCCTGTTTACAAAGTCTTTTCCATGGATGATCGTGCCACAACAACTGCGCCTCTGTTTTTAGGTCCAAAAGCCATCAGCGAACACATTCTGAGCATTTCTGAGCTCAAATTGTTTACACAAAAACACATGGCTCTATTAGCTTAAAGCATGCACGCTTCATTTATTCATTTGTTTCATTGTTCATTCGTGTTAACAGCAGAGGGATTTCATTATGTTCAATTAGAAAATGTGAAATACTAATCTCAAGGTGACCAAAGGCATGTTGAACGGGAATTAAAGCCACAAGAATGCTAATGTTTAGTGGTAGTTGTTGTATTACTGCTACTGCTACTAATACTACCAATAGTAATAAAGATCCTTAAGGCGACGTTCAGACTGCAGCCTGAAGTGACCCAAATCCCATTTTTCCACCCCTATGTGACCTGTATCTGATCTTCTAAGTCT